CACTGAGTTCTTTCCTGCTTTGGGACATTTGTACTTGCTTTTCTCTCAATTTTTAACATGGGTCTTCCTAATTTTCTGCTTCTTGTCTTAAATCTTAAAGATTACCTCCTCAGAGATGGTTTGCCAACCTATTCTATCTAAAGGGGACCTCCTACGTTACTCATTATTATAGCATCCGAATTTCTTTTTCTTTACAGTACTTAGAAGGCAACTGCAGGTCTCTTTCCACTAGAATAAGAGTCCTTTCAGAGAAGAGATCTTATCCCCCAGATCCATAGCTATATCCCAAGTGCCTAAAACACACTTAGCATACAGAAGGCATTGAAATACATTGGGAGGAAGGGAGAGGGTCAAACTTAGATGCTGGTAGGTGATCAACAAATATTACTAATGAATGAACTTATTTGCAGTGTGGGATAATTCAGCATAAATCAATGAAAAATTAAAGAACACATAGCAAAATTGATTCTGATTTTACAAAAGTTGATCAGTAGTAATTAGGGAATGAATCCACTTGTCTTTTCTACTAATACCTCTAGTCCATGGCAATAAAACCATAATGATAAAAAAAAATTACCACAATTTAATGAAAATTTTTAAATAGCAGAATACAAAATTGTGCTAAATTTTATAGAATGAATAAGTGTAAAAAGACTAGAAGGAAATACATCAAAATGTTAACAGACATGTCTGGGTGTTTTGATACATTTCCTTTTTTGCATCTTTCTATATTTCCAAATTCTCTACAATGTGCATATTATTATTTGTATAATCAAAACTGAACCAAAAGAACAATTATCCTACTTTGCTGGCTCTAAAGCTAGCCATAACCATGAATGAAACATTATACTAATCAATTTTGCAAATTACTACATAATAATAACTTATTTTCTAAAATCTTCAAATGATAGTCATTAAAGCCTACTTATAGTGAATTTTTTACTAAGTTTTTTGCCACTATCACTTTTTACCATTTATTTTTTAATCTTGGGAAGTGGTTTAGTATGGTGGAAAAAATACCTTTTTTGCATTAAAACTTCTAAATCCAAGCTTTATTATTATCTAGTTGTGTAATGCTGAATATATTACTTCACTGAGTTCAATTTTTCTCATCTGGTAAATGAGAATAATACCACCAATTAGAGATATTTATAAAGCTCTGCTTAGTGACTGACATACAGTAGGGTCTAAATAAAAGAGTAGCTACTATAAGCCATCAGAATATCATCTACTAGCTAGATTATCAGTTATCAGCACTCTGAGAGACCATGATCATCCTGTTCTACCATATCACTAGTCTAGCACTGAGCCTGCAGGTAGCAATTTTCAACACGTTATTTGTCAAATCAATTACCATCTTCACTACCTTTTTCAGGTAGAGCTACATTAGGATTGTAGGGAAGCATTATCTCTCTCCTTCTAGTTATTTTAATGGAAAGTTAGAATAACTCAAAAGCTAGAGGAAGTCAAAGATTAAATCATATACCTCCACACTATGCTATGGAAGCAGAAAATAAATGAGTAAACAAGACAGACAATTTTAAATAGGATAAATGTTATTAGTCATTTCCTATTATATTTCTTTTTATTTTTTATTTTATTTTTTTGAGGAAGATTAGCCCTGAGCTAACATCCATGCCCATCTTCCTCTACTTTATATGTGGGATGCCTACCACAGCATGGCTTGCCAAGCGGTGCCATGTCCGCACCCGGGATCCGAACCAGCAAACCCCGGGCTGCTAGAGTGGAGCATGTGCACTTAACCGCTGCGCCACCGGGCCGGCCCCCAAATTTCTAAATAAAATGCTTAAGCTTCTATTTTGGACATCATCTACTGAGTTCCTGTCACAGCAGATGAAGATTTTTACTACAATGACACTATCCCTCTACTCCTCTTACCTTATTCTTCCACTAAATGTTATCCCAATTTCTGGTTAAATTGATTGTAGATTTTGCATTACTATGATTCAGGAAATACTGCTTACTGTAGAGCCAAGAAATATACTGTGATGATGTCTCCTTTCTTATACAAATTTTTTCTTTTCTTATTACGTTCCTAGCCTTAATCTTTTACAAGAGATGTTACTTACCTATTAATAGCTTTTTATTACAAATGCTCAAACATATCTATTGAGTCTATTTTTATCTGGAAACCTCACTTTTGGTGAGGAAGAGAGGTCCACTCTCCTGTGTCCTGCTCTGATTCGAACTGGATGCTCACAGGTTTGCTGTGCAGGTTACCATCTTGGGATGTCCCCTCATTGCTCTCCTATGTTAGATCCTCTTTTTCCCAGCTCCTATATTTTCTTTCTAACTTTTACTCCCTTTTGTTAGTGTATATGATGTAGTAATAAGAAAGAGTGCATAAAAGATCTTTCATTTTTTAAATTTTGTATGGCAGACACTGTTGCCTAAATGATCCAACAGCCATTTCCAAACCCCTTCCCCCGTGTACTATACAAAGGCTGGAAAAGCTAAATACTTGCTTTCCCAAAGTCTAGAAGTTAAGTTTCACAGTTCTAGCCAATGAAATCTAAGTAAGGAGCTTTCTGGGCAAGTTTTGCTTTCCTTTCTTTTTTCCTGTCTGGAATGAAGGCATGATGTTTGAGGTGCTTCAGCCAGCCTGCCACCATAAGCCTACAGCTGTTGTTAAAGACAGAAAAACAGAAAGATTAAAAAAACACCTAGGACAACCAGAGGCACTCACAACTAGAACATACAACTATGTACTGGGGGGGGGGGGGGGGGGGGGCTTTGGGTAGAAGAAGAAGAAGGAAAAGAAGACTGGCAGCAGATATTAGCTCAGGTGCCAATCTTTAAAAGAAAAACCCAAACCTAAGGACCTTCATGACATTGCTCAAGTCACTACATCAGTCCCAGATTATCTACCTCTTGATTTCTTATTCTGTAAGAGAAAAGAGTCCCCATTTGTCTAAGCCATTGTTCTCTGGGTTTTCTATTACTTGCAGGCAAACACATTCCACTGATAAACCTTGTATATCTGAAAACAGTATTTCCTCCCTCTTGTTTCATTGGTGTTTTGGCTAGGAATAGAATTCTAGGTTGATGACAATTTTCCCTCAGCATTTTTAAGATCTTGTTCCGCCTTATCTTACAGCTTCCAACATTGCTGACAATTTCTGTATCATTCTAAGTCCTGTCCCTGTGAATGTGACCTCATTTTACACTAGAAGCTTTTAAGATATTCTCTTTATAACTGATATGGGAAATTCCACAATGCACAATGATGTGTCTTCAGAGTGAGAAAGCTTTTGTTTTTTGTTTTTTCTAAATTCAAAGTATTGACTTCTGTAGGGGGACATTTATAATCTGGAGACCAATGCTTTTCAGTTCAGTTTGGGGAAATTTTCTGGATTTATTTTATAATCTAGACTCTTTCATTTTCCTTGTTCTCTATAGTTGGAGAAACTCTTATTAGTTCAATACTGGACCTCCTGGATTGATTTTCTAAGATTTTTATTTTCTCCAATTTCCATTTCTGTCTCCCATCTATTTTTCAGGAGATTTTTTACAACTCTTGTACTTTTTTATTCTAACAAAATTTATTTTCCAAGCAGCTCTTTCCTAGTCTCTGATCTTTCATTGCATCCTATTATCATTTTATGGATGTGGTATCCTTTCCTCTAAGAAAACTGATCTGGATTATTATTATTTTAACTTACTTGTGTTCAGTGCATTACTCCATATTTCTATTTTCAGGTTTGCTTTGTTTTTATCTCTCTCTTTCATGGTGAAGGCCCTAACACAGAAGATATACAACTGACAGTGCATCACGGGTGAAGAAAGAAAAAGCTAATTGGAAACAGTATGTATACAGTGGGCAACACTGTAGGAGGACTGAGCTGTGAAACTGGTCACTGATTTGGGGACCAGACAGCAAGATTAGCCATTTTATTATGGGGTGGAGAATGCCCACATGATAGTATCTGGAAATCTTTTCTCCGAGGCCATACATTTCCTCCAGAGAAGGTGATTCTAATCCTATGCTAGGAGACATAGGCCTGGCATCATGGAACAGGGAAGCGGTTAGAAGTTCCAGCATTCAGTTTAGAGGTTTAATTCTCCTATTTTCTACCCTCTCTCTCTGTCCACAGAGCCTCTATCATTTCATTTCCCCCAGAAAATAAAGCTCTAGCCTCTGCCTAGTAGGCAGTACAGGAGAAGGGTCCTGAGGGTCAAACTACTTTTTTACTATTGTGCCATCTTTTGTAAAAAGAAAAAAAAAGTTTTCCTCCCAAATATGAACAACTATTTTAACAAAAAGATTTATTTCTACAAATAACAGCTAAAAGGAAAAGAAAGCTGACATAATTTCTCACCCTTTTGCTCAAATTAGGTATCTTAAACCATTGAGTCTTAAACACCATTCTTCTGTGTATACTAATCACAGGCAAAGCGACTACTATGGAGGGTAACTATGTAAATTGTTATCCAGAATAAGATACTTTTGAGAGTGAATGGTGCACTATTAGTAATTATGCCAGGGCAATATGCATAAAACTGAGAGTATCTCAGGCAAACCAGTCACCCTATTACTACTAGGAGAATAACTTTCTTGAATGCCAAGCTTGTAACCTTAAAAGGCTTTACCAACTATGTGAAATTCTCCCTCAGAACAAAGACATACTCTACTGTGCTAGTGCCTAATATATGTCACGTAGTGAAAACAGAAGGCAATATAGAATAATACAGCTTTTAAGATATTACAAAGTCTCCCTTCCAACAAGCACACAAATAAAACACTACTTTAGAAATTCACATATTGTCTTTTTGCTTAAAGGAAATAATAAGAATTCATATATTTCAAATAGACAGAATTGGATAATTTAGCTGGTAGAGTTTTCTTCTTCTTACTTGGAATTACTTCAATTAAAGAAATGAGGAAAGGGTGAAGAATGATTAGAAAGAAAAGAAAACGGGCTATAGTTTTCTACCTAAAGTAGTTAAGACATGAGAGAAGAATCACTAAACGCCTTTACCCATTCCAGAGTCTTTCTTGGTGCCATCTGATATTATGTCTACATGATCAGAGTCCACATCATAACTAAAGAAATCATTCAAATAGGTCTTCGACCGCTGGCCACCAAATACATATAAGCAACGATTTTTCTGAAAAATAAGAAAAAAAGGGCAAAGAAGAGAGAAAGCAGTCACTTTCATAGGAATTCATCATGATCCTTTTAAAATGTAAACACCTATAACAGTAATTTTATGACAGATCCCATGCATTGGAATACTATGCAGATATAAAGAGGAATGAGGAAGCTCTCTATATACTGCTAAGAGGTGATCTCTAGGATATTCTATTAAAGTAAAAAAGCAAGGTGCAGAATAATGTATACAGGATGCTGCCTTTGTGTAAGAAAAGAGAAAAAGGAATGCATGAGTGTTTGGTTTTTTCCTTCAGAAAGAAAGGAAGGAAGGAAATTAATAAAAGACAGTTACCTATAGGGGAAGGGACAGAGCAGGAAGACAGGGATAAACACCAGATCTCCCTGAAAGTGCCTTCACTTATGTTTTTGCCTTTAGAACCATGAATATGTTTTTATTTAATTAGAAAATAAAATTAACTCAGTCGAAAAATATCTCCGAAATTTGAAAAAGAAATGAAAGAAACCTATCTGTATATAAAGACATACAGAGGCATGATCACACAGAGAAGTAGCATTTCTAGAGATTTTAATTGATGTTTTTTTTACTACCCATCCCTAGTAGGCTATATCCTAAAACAGAAAAATAATCAGAAAACAATCTTATACAGTATTCAGTGATTTTGCTGTTAGTTTCATTATTCTGTAAACTAGTATAGAAAGACAGAGCACATAATATAATATCGTCATTAGGAAGTAGGATTTTACCCTTAGAAGATACACAAATACAAAATCAAAGATATTAAATTTAAAAAACTATAGTCTTTCACTTGAATTGGACGTAGCAGTATGAATTCATGATTTAATTTTTCTCTTAAAAAGACAGATACACATTCATATATATATAAACATATATGTGTGTACAACTGTGTATCACTTAGCGACGGGGATACATTCTGAGAAATGTGTCGTTAGTCGATTTCGTCATTGTGCAAACATCACAGAGTGTACTTACACAAACCTAGACAGTATAGCCTACTACACACCTAGGCTATATGGTACTAATCTTATGGGACCATCGTATATTTGGTCTGTCATTGACTAAAACATTGTTATGCAGCTGCATGACTCTGTGTGTATATACACACAAATGGAAATGCATGCGTATGCTGGGAGGGGGGCACTCCTACTGGACAAAGAGAGAAAAACTGGGGCATCAAAAGAATAATGACAGCATTGGATTAAACAAAATAAATATTTAAAAATCCACGGGTTCCTAACAATACTTAAAAAAAATTCATTGGTTAACTATGGAGCACAACTCATTAATATGAAAAAGTGATAAAAGAAAAGAATCAAACATTTATATTACCTCTTCTGTGTGGTTTACATATCAGGGTAGCCAAGTAGTTAATGAGGGTAAGTTGTGTTTGTTTGTTTGTTTTTGGTGAGGAATATCAGCCCTAAGCTAATATCTGTTGCCAATCCTCCTCTTTTTGCTTGAAGAAGACTGTCCCTGAGCTAATGTTCGTGCCAATCTTTCTCTATTTTGTATGTGGGACACTGTCACAGCATGGCTTGATGAGTGGTGTGTAGGTCTGCACCCAGGATCCAAACCTGTGAACCCTGGACTGCCAAAGCAAAGTGCACAAACTTAACCACTACACCACCAGGTCAGCCCCAACGAAAGTTAAGTTTTTTCTAGTACAATCACAGTTAATAAATGCAGAAGAAATGACATAATTAGAAAAATCACCATTTTACAAAACCTAATGAAATCTAGGCAATGACTATCAATGGCTGCTAAAGCCATTAGGTAAAAAGTTGACAGGATACTTTATAAATGACACCTGAATCCAGTGAACAATTTTAACATCACCAAAAGCATGACAATTACACATTAAATGCCTCTTGATATTTTGCAATCAGACCATCTATGAAGTATTCTTGCACCTCCCCTTTTGGCTTCCACCCCTCCCACCCAAAAAAGAAGAGTGAATCGAAAATCAAGCCTCTGACTCTAATTACCAGCTCACAGGAAATACAGGGGATAGGGGTCATGTTAAATGACACAATGAGGATAAAATCAGCCAAATCGAAAATACAGGAAATTCTAAAACACACATGATTCAGTTTCTTTAATAAATACATAAGTGGTAGGTGGGTGGAAGAAACAGGAGGGGGGAGTAGTGTTCTGGATAAAAAGAAATTTAAGAGCCATAACAACCAAATGCAATGCAGAGACCTTTTTTGGATCCTAACTTGAATAAACCAACTATGAAAAGGTATTTTTCAGTATTTCAGGGGAAAAAAAATTAATGCAGGCTATCTGTTAAATGATAGTAAGAAAGTACTTTTATTTTGGTTGGGTTTTATAATGGTACTGCAATTATGTTTTTTAAAAGTCCCTATCTGGACTTAATCTGGACCTAAATACACTATAGTATTCACAGGTATAATGATACAATGCCTGGGATTTGCTTTAAAATACTCCAGCACAATAAAATTTAAGAATAAACATAAAAATCAAAGAACTATTAAAAAAGAAGAAATGTAAATGAGGTAGATATATGAAAAATGAACAGTGGAATATTGGTAACTATTGAAACTGATAAATGAATACACAGAAATTTATTATATTCTTCTCTCTACTTTGGTTATGTTTAAAATATTCCACAATAAGAACCAGAAGAACCCAAAACTAGGCTATACAACTATGTACTGGGGGGCTTTGGGGAGAAAAAAAAAAGAAGACTGGCAACAGATGTGAGCTCAGGGCCAACCTTCCAAAAAAAGAAAAATTTAAAATATTCCACAAGGTATTTTTAAAGTTACGTTCACAGAAGGAAGCCTAAGTTTTCACCATAACATTTGAAAAGGTTTAAGAAATGTCTGTATGTTGGTTTTGCTGATAAGTTTTAATTCTAATTCTATAAAGTCAATTCTTAATTATTTGCACTTAACGGAGAACAGCAGAGGGGGGAAAAAAGAACATAAGAAAATTGATCTTTTAGTTACTAAGAGAAATCAATAAGTAGAAAGGTACAAGAAAGAGAAATAGCTACAATTTCTACATAAGCAGTGAAGTTAGTCATAAAAGTGCCTAAACTTGCATTTGGGCAATAACTATTTAGGAATTACTAGGTTGATGGGAAGAGTCTCATAATTAGCAAACAGTTCATTGTTAAAGGAAGTTTTATTTTTGTCTATCATTGCTGACACTAATCATTTTTTTCTAGTGACAAGTTTTGATCTTTACTCAAGAATCAGATTTTACCACTTCCTTTCCTACGGAGATATACATGACAGTATGACAAAATACACTGTACAGAGTATTCTTACTGAATGGAATAGCATGCAGTGTCCTATCCGAGACTGGATATCCTCAGGCCCAGCATTACAGGAGTCCTCTCGAAGAAGTTTCCAGGTTTGACATTGACAGTTGAAAGCAAATAATCCACTGAATTGTGGTTCACTGGCTCTGCTGTCATCCACGCTGCCATTACATGTCAAAATTCTACCACCAAAGGTGTAGATCATATGTTTTTCTGAGTCCATACACATCTACCAGAACAAAGCAACAGATAGAATCATTTTAGATTATTCCTGTCACATGTGCTAAAAGGAAACCAATGTGTGCAGTTTTAGATTCTTAAAAAAGCTGAACTTTGTCTTAATAACACTAAATACCATCCCTGATTATCATACGCACTTTTTGCCATACTGCTCACCACCTGGCGGAGATTCAGGATGGACTTCTAAATACTTAGAAGTTTTCCATTCTTCCCAGTGAGAGTAAAATATATTCGGTTAAAGAGTTTTATGCTTTCTTGAAACTGCATAATTTTTTACCAAGTCAACCAACATTACATGAGGCACTGATTTATACTTTAGAGTGAACACTGATCATACTCTAGGGGTAGAGTGATCACATCCTCTTTATAAAAATTCCTTTCTTTCAATTCTAGGCAAGCATCCAATTAATCTTGCTACCATTTAGTAAGAGAGTAGATATGTGAATAAGAGTGATGTAGCTAAATTCTTCTCTCTGCATTTATTTTATGAAAGTCTTCAAATCATGTTGTTATAAAACAGTAAAACAAACAAAAGACACATGCAGCAATCAGTCTTCAGACTGTTTTCTATGGTGTGTTGAATCTTGCCTCCTTTTACACAATACTATAAATTTAATTTTCTTTGAGGTATGTTATGTAATTCATGTTCAAAAGCCAACCTTGATTCTCTCATTCTTTCACCTCAAGGAGATTGTGGCTTTTCATAAAATATGTCTGAGAAAATAGCCATTTGTCACAAGACAGTATCAAATTCTATTTCAAAGAATATCCAAGCCCAAGTTGGGAATTAGATGTTGAACACAAGTGGCATCTACATTTAAACAATAATTGTGTACACAAAACATCTAATTTTTGCTAAAGCACAATTACTAACCATTTTATATTCAATTCTCTTCTCCTATCAAATTATTTTTCTATTATCTATTTTTGTAGTTTTTAATAAAAAGCTATTTTCATAACTGTAAAGATTGTTTTTTTAAATTAGTATCGAAAAGATTCTAGCATCTCCTCATCTTTATCTACCACTAAAAAGATCCACTCCCTTGCCATTTCCCAGGTTTCTGGCAGATTCCATAAATTATGATGAAAATCTACTCTCCCTCAAGGGTGAAATCTTGATGAATATGGTTTAAAAATTGAGATGTCAAAGTTTTCATGTCTCTGGCACTCCAAAGAAAGTGTTCCCATTCTTTAATCTTAAGTGATCATAACATTAAAAACAATCCATACATTGTTGAGGACAACTCAGTACGGTCCCATTCAACTGCTATCTCACTGTCTAGGGCTTTGCTGGCTAGATCACATTACCCTGTCCTAAGCACTTAAGGTGCACATCTCTCCAAACGTCCGGGGATCACGCTGAAAATCCTGAGGGACCCACATTACAAGTGCCTATTTATACTTTCATAAACTCACAGATTCATACTAATTCTGGGCAATCTCTGTTATCAGGACCCTATAGTTCTACTTCATATGGCTACAAAGGGAGTTTCTCTTTCCTTTGGGGGATATTTAAGTTTCATTTTGATTCTCATTTGCTATCAGGGGTTAAGCATAAACATCTTTATCTTGGTAGCTCTTTCCAGCATACCTGATCAAACCAACTCAAAAAAGGAGAAAGATATTATAGCAGTTTGATGATTCTTTCCCACATCTTAGAACAAACTGGACACAAAACCAGTAACCAGTTGTCTCTCTGTGGCTTTCAGGATTTTCTCTTAATCCTTGGTTTTGAAATTTCATGAAGGAAGTATCTAGGATATTCTTTTTTCATTCATCTTGAACTGCACCCACTGTTCCTCTCATTCTGAAAACTGTCTTTCTTCAGCTCTGGGAGTTTTCTTCATTTTTACCTTGAGTATTATTTTTTGCCTCCATTCTCTTTTTCTAGGACTCCTATTAGGTAGATCCTGGAACCTTAGGACCTTTTCTCTGTTTCTTAACTTTTCTCTCATAATTTCAGCTCACTAATCTAGTAACCACATAGAGGTGAGTGTGCCCATTCTGCTTTTAAATCAATTTATTGAGATTTTTGTTTTGTTATTAACTCTTTATAAGTTTTCTAGATATTTCTTTTTCATGGATGTAATAGCCTCCTGAATCGCTCTGAAAATATCACCTAAACTTATCTTCAAGGCTTCTTCAGTTTACACTACTAGCTGTTTTTCTTTGTTCATTCTTAACTTGTTGAGTTCAGTACCCCTGTCTCATGGTATTGATTATCCTCAAATATTTAGATTTTTTTGGTCATTGTTCTAGTCTTCTTTGTATCTGAGAATCCCTATTCATCTGCCTGTTGCATATACAGCAGCCTGCCTCAAGGGACTGGATGGAGAGAAATAGGACATGATGCTGTGAGGAGTTCCTCAGTGCTTCTTGGGAGTATTGCTCTATCTTTCCAGCTCCAATGCCCACATTCAACACTTGACTTGTCAACAACTTTCACATTTAAGTGCTACTCAGTCAAACTGGAGAATGCCCTGCTGTTCAGTCTCCAACTGATCATCTAACATTTGCCCCAGCTATACAGACTTTGAGACTCAAGTTGCTGTAATCTTATAGGTTCTGGTTTCTTCTGGTTGGATCCGATCCTATCTGCATTCTACATTACAGGAATTCTCCCAAAGTTTTTGAAGTTCCTCAAGGGCATTCTTTCTTGTTTTTCAATACTAAGGTATTCTCTTCTCATATCATAGGATGTGGGGCAGAAGGACAGTATAGGTTCAGTCTGTCAATAATCCACTAACCCAGGGAGAATGTCAATGAGCTGAGATCTCCAATCCTTTGACTGAAGTTTCTCCTGCCATTTTTTGGCTAGCTCATATTCCATTTTCTAGTAATTTCCTCAAACAGTGTTTATACTTGAAGGACAGTTTGGCTAGATATAAAATCCTTGGCTCATACTGTCTTTTCTTGAATACCTCCGAGAATGTCGCTGTTTTATTTCTTGGTATCGAATGCAGCTGTAGAGAAATCTGTTACAGTCTCATCTTGTTTCTTTCATAGGTGACTTGATCATTTGGCTAGTTCCCCCAAAATGGCCTCTTTATCTTTGAAATTCAATGTTACTAATATATGTCTTAGAGTTAAATGCCTAGGTCAATCTTCCCTGAATATAGCATGCCCTATGAGATGTGGAATAGTCTTCTTTCTTCAGGAAAGTCTTCTTGAATTTTATTTATAAATATTTGTTCTGTTCCACAGTTTCAGTTTTCTTCTTTAATGTCTCCAATTATGTGTGTGTTGACACTCTTTTGCCTGTCTTCGCTATCTACAATTTTCTGGCTAATCCTTTTTATATCTTTATTTCCGTTTTATCTGCTCTTATTTCTATGCTATATGATCCTTACCTATTCTTCTTTATGCTCCTTGCAGATTAGTCTTCATTTCTGAAAGTGTTACTACATTTTTCTTCAATTTCTTTCCTGAGTTTTACCACGTCCAGTTTCACCTGATCCTAATATTTGACCCTCTCATCTGCATTCTTGAATTTATGCTTTGTAGTTTTCTTCATGGTTTCAAGCTTCATTAAGATCATTTAATTGATGTTAGAATACTGGAATATAATTTTCATCTGCTGTTGTTTGAAGGAAAGTTTTGCTGTTTTCTTTTTATTGTTTTTCTTTAGAGTATCTCTCTAAAGATTCGGTGTGTATTGCTTTTTAGTTTTTCATATTTAAATGAGTTGAAGTTTCCTGGACCAGATAACAGAAGGTTCCTATGGCGGGGTGATGTTCTTGCTCATGGATTCCCTCCTCTGTTGCTACTGAATTGAATATTCTTCAAAATACGATGCTTCTGTGAAGCCACATCTTCTCTAACTCTATGAACCTCATCTAATCAGGGGGGTTCTATCTCAAGCCTTGGGCTCTCCCAGTTCCTTCAATGGTCATTGCAAAAGGAGCCACAGTCCTCACTTTTCATGGTGTTTCCGTTACTTTTAGAAGATGGTGTTTTCTGTCATCTTCCACCTCTGGGCCTTTCTGGGCACTTTCCATATGTTACTTCACTGACTACCCCAGTGGCTTCCCTGGGTTAAATTTTTGCCCTGTTCATGATACTTCCCACGGTGATGTACCTCTGCTATGCTCCCTCTGCATTCCCAGTTCTCCCCTATTAGACTGTTGCGCACTTCCATACAGGTTCTGGGTATTTCAGTGGTTTTTGGCTAAACTTAAAGGAACTAGGAGTTGTAGGTTTTCTTTGGCTCCTGATTTTGCTGAATATATGACTTTTTTTTAATCTTTTTATTTGGTTCCCCTTGTTCCTGAAGATCACACAAAGCAACAACATGGAAACTTCAGAACTAAGCTGTCATTATGTTCCTAAGAAATCCAAAGTCTTTGAATTTTATTTCTTTTAATATGTTAAATTCAAAATGGCAGAGTAACTTTTAAACATGTCTTCATGCCTCTAGCTCTCATGTTCTTCTCAAATTTGAATATTAAGTGTTAAAGTGTCATGAACAAGCCCAAGTAATTTTTGGAGTACGTTCCAACTGACAGCTTTATTCACATGAAATAGAATAGAAAATGGAGGCTTATACAGATTGTGTAATTAATTGGGCAAGGTCACAGAGATAGCTGTTAGCTGAATTAGTACTGAAATCCTGGTTTCTTCATTCCTAGTCTTCTGCTGTAACATTTAATCAGTTGAAAACCAAACATTACTTAACAGAACTTAGCTTCCAAGGAATATTCTATTTAACCAAAGTCAAGAGAAACAAAGGCCACACACAAGGACAATATATGTGCTGGAGTCAGACTATCCCTAAGCTATTCTTTTTTTCCCTGTAAAAATAAAGACATAAGCATCTTTTGTCAAAGAAATTTGTAACCAGTTGGAAGCAAGAAAATAAACTGTTTCCCTAACAATGTTATCTGCTGATGTTCTATTTTAAAAGATCAGAAAGAGCCTAACTTTTTTTGAGGTTGTTATTTTCAAGATGAACAACACTGAGTATGTTAGCAGGGAAGTGCAACACTTTGCAGAGCTCAGTTATGTAGAGCCAGCAGAAGTTCCAAATTCAATCTGAGGAGTACTTTGAAGACTAATGTTTTTGATTTTCCTCCCACCACTTACTTGATAGGCATATAACCCACTCATCTTTTCCTCACCATTCTCCTATAACAACTACTTGTTAATATAAATATGGCAGTAGGATAGCTTTAAAGCAAAGAATTAACAAAAATCTCTAAAGAAAAAAGAAATAAAGACTTGGGTTTTAACTCCTAGATATTGGGTCTAAGCTAGATTCTGTCATAATTCTAGCACTACCTCCCTCTTCTCAAGTACTAGATGATGCTATGATCATCAAAACAGTGTTCTCCCCTACACTCCAAAAAAGCTTTGGACATGAGTTGAGCCAAGTAAAACCACCTATAAAATTCAAAGTGGTTACTGTTTTGTTTGAAGTACTGACCTACAGTGAACTGATATGGAATAAGTATTCAAAGACAGATTGTGATAATGACACTGCCGGGGATAATGAGAGTTAAATGCACACTAATATTAAAGTGGCTTATATTACCGCTACGCATAGTCTTCTTGTCTACAACATCACTCTATGACTCCTATTGGTGCTGAGTCTAAACTTCATCTAGGAAATATCAAAATCCTTTCTGTTTTATAACAAATTTGTGATTATATACAAAAGAAAATATATTTCACTCAAATTGGAAGAAAAGCTGTAGATGTCAAATTCTTAGTCTCATTAAAAAGCAATTTCAAAGTTCTGCCAGGAATGTAGAATAAAAAGTTTAAAAAGGAAAAGTTGCTATTATTATGATTTATGGATATTTATCATAAACGAAATTTGTTTTTCCTAATATGTATTGCTCCATCTACTCTCTAAAGTTTTATAAATTAACAATTGTGTTCTGAGATCTTAATTTTTTGCTGTTTGTTTGTTTGTTGTCGAGGAAGATTCGCCCTGAGCTAACATCTGTCACCAATCTTCCTCTATTTTGTATGTGGGCTGATGCCACATGGCCACTGATGAGTGCAGTAGGTCCGCACCCGGAACGGAACCCAGGCTACCAAAGCAGAGCACACTGAACTTAACCATTAGACCACAGGAGCTAGCCCTGAGATTTTAGTATTTTATCCTGCACCAGACAAGACAAAAATATTTTAAGAGAATAACTTTATACCTACTAAAACAATAGTTATTTTTATTATTTGTCACAGGTAGTGGAAATCACAAATAGACAACTCAGCATAACATGTTAAATAAACTCTAAGAGCTAGAGTTGTTAAGCACTAATTAATTCCACCATATATTTATCTGTGCACCAAACCTGATGATCAAACACCAATTTCGGCCCTCCATCAGCAGCAGTATCCTCACTGAGTAACATCCATGTGTTTGTGTCAATGTCATAACGATAGAAGTCACTTTTCAGAGATTTGCTGTTCCTCACAGAGGAATCCAAATAACGCCCCAATGTGTAGATTTGCCTTCGCTGAATGTCAATGCACATTTTATGACATGATCTGGCACTAGGACCACTCTGTGGAGAGCAAAATAAAAGAAAAAAAAATTCAAAGAATAAATAACAGAAAATAAAATTGAATGCCGTTTTTTGTTGACTCTTTCATTAAAAGGTTTGCTCAGAAACTCACAGCAAGTCAAGTAATATAAGTCTAACACCAGGCTTAAATCTCTAAAGGAAAGCAAAGAAGTGGTAGGAGACACAAATCTTACCTCAGAAATGCTTAAAATCTACCAGCAAAGACGAGATGAACTATTCTGAACCCCACGGCACTCTGTTTATAACACTTATATGGCTTCTATTATATACTCCACTGCATTTTAGTTATTTGTGCATAGAGCTTAATGCTCTAGTACATATCAATCTACTTAAACACACTTTTGGTCTTTTTAAAAATATTTCTCATCAGAATCTAGCACAAAACATGCACTCCAAGAATAGTTAGAATTACTGAATTTCATAACTGAAAGGAACCTTAATAAAATCTATAACAATTATTTCCTTTTAAAGATGAGGAAATATAAGTCCAAGGAGGAAGAGTATCCTCCTGAAAGCTAGTAAGCTAGTGACAGAAGCAGAATGAGAATCCAAGTCTTTAACTTCTTCATCCAGCCTTTACAGTATATAAAACTGACTCTCTTGACTGAATAAATAACACAATTAAGGAATAATATGAAGAACGGTATATTATTGACAAAAAAATTATTTAGTTGAGATTACTTGTATCACAGGACTGAATAAAAGGTAAAAAGAAAATTGTACCATAAACAAAAAAAAGAGTTCAAAAAAAGAAAGAACTTCAACTGGGCAGGATTGGATTAGAAGAGGGGAAAGAAAAGAGAACTAATATTTGTTAAATATCTTCTAAATTCTGCCTATATTATTATTACGTGTGTGTGTGTGTATATTTCATATAATCCAGATAACAACTCTATAAGGAAATATTATCAGCATTTCAGAGAGTCACAAAACTAGGAAGTAAGATAGAGAAGTGTTACCAGGGCCAAAACTTGTGTTCTTTCCACTATTCCAGAAGAGAAGAGAAATAAAAGCAAAAATACACTCAATACAATGTGTGTGGTTATCACTGAGCCGAAGAATCCCTGCTGCAGAAATAACAGGGCTGAAGTATAAGGTAGAAACAGGAAGCCTGGGGAATGACCGGCAGAAGAGACTGAATGTAATACTGTAAGCAGTAAAGAACGACTATAAGTTTCTAGAGCAGGATATAACATAAAAAGATCAGTATTATAGGAAAAGTAATCTAGCACTATCATTAGATTAAATGAAGGAATAAAGATAGTAGGTAGGAAGAACAGTTTGGCAATAGCGTTATTAATGCAGATAAGTTGATTTGAATCTGTACTTCAGTATTCATACTAATTACTATTTTAAAATTTATTTTTAAAAGATTTTGTCAAGGAAAATCTTCAGCAGGTAAAATGGAAATGTTATTTGAGAAAGAATTTCCTCCATAATTAAATAACTTCAAAAACAAAGATAAGATACTATATAATAATCAATGCTATATTTCCTAGAGTGTGAAATTTGAAATTTTAATAGGAAAATAACAGAACTTCTTGCTTCAGCTTAATTACCACTAGTGGTATTAAAATGACACCCTAGCAAATTACACCCTAGGTAAGAAGAAAAACAAAAATAAAGATAAGAATAGAAATCAATAGATTAGAAAACAGACAAAAAGTAGAAAAAAATCAACAAAGTTCGTTCTTGGAAAGATTGATAGAATTATAAGCCACGGGCAAGATTAATCTTTTAAAAAGGAAGAGAAAATACAAATTGCCAATATCAGAAATGAAGGCAGAAAAATCACTACAGCCTTGCTGGAAGTGAAAAGAAAAGAAGGGACTATTACAAAAACATAGGTAAAATCTGACAATACAGGTAAAAAGGTCATATTCTTTGAAAAAATTTAACTTACCAAAATTGACATGAGATGAAAGAGAAAATCTAAAGTCATTATATCTATTGAAAAATTAAATTCATAATTTAAAATCTTCCCACAAAAAGAACGTCAGTCCTAAACACTTAAGGAAGAAATAATATTAATTTTACGCAAAATTTTTCAGAAAACAGAAGACAAAAAAACCTTCCATTTTTAATCTGTATACTATTTCATTCCTAACTTATTTTATGAGGAAAACATAGTACTAAAACCAGTAACAACTATCACAAAGGAGGAGGAGGAGAAATAATGTAGAGGCAGTTAGTACACCTCATGAACAGAGATGAAACTAATCTTTATCACAGCATTATCAAATAGAATACGGTGACATATAAAAAGGGTATTTCATAACTAAAGGGGGTATTATCTCAGGAATGCAAAGTTGATTTTACATTTGAAAATCAATCAAGACAATTTGCCACACTAACAGAATTAAAGGGAAAAAAATATGATCTTTTCAATATATATGTAGAAAAAGTATCTGATAAAATTCAATACATATTCATGAGGAAAAACTTACAGCAAACTAGGAACGGAAAGGCACTTCCTCAATCTGATCAAGAATGTATGAAAATCCTAAATCTAATTTTTCACTTAAGGGTGAAATATTCAATGCTTTCCTGCTAGGATCTGAAACAAGATAAGGACGTATATTCTCACCTCCTTTATTTAACACTGTACTGGAGTCTAAGTTACTGAGATAAGACATTAAAAAAAAAGTTTTAACAGAAAAAAAGAATGGAAAGAAAGAAGTAAAATTGACTCTATTCATGAATGACACGACTATTTGTTGAAAGCACCCTAACAAACCAACAAAGAAACTATCAGAAATAATAACTGGATTTAGAAAAGTGACATGATACAAAGGCAATATTAAAAAAAAAAACTTTACTTCTCTGTATTACCAGTAAACAAATGGAAAATAAAAACTTTAAATTCCATTTACAATAGCATGAAAAAACAAAATATCCTGGGATCCATTTAATAAAAACATCTAAGACCTCTAACCTGAAAATTCCAAAAGTGCTGAGAAATAATGAAAAAGACTGAAATAAATGGAGATTTAACTACGTTCATGGATTAGAAGACTCAATATTATTAACACATCGATTCTCTCCAAATTAATTTATAGATTCATTACATTTCCAATCATAATCACAACAGTTTTAGAAATTGACAATATTATTCTAAAATTTATATGAAAATGTAAAGGACCTAGAAGAGTCAAAATAATTTTTAAAAAGAATAAAGAGGTCTTACATTACCTGACCTCAAGGCATGTCATATTAGTATAGCAACAGATCGAAAGATAATGGAGCAGAATAGAGTATCCAAAAATAAACATATAATTACACAATCAATTGATTACTGACAAAGGTGCCAAAGCAATTCAACGGATAAAGAAGACAGGGAACAACCAGCAACCAGAACTCTCATACATTTCTGGCAGGAATATAAAATGATACAATCTCTTTGGAAAAAGCTTTTATCAATGGATGCCAAAAGGGTGAAAGTTTGATGAGTAACAGGATATTTTCATAATCTCAAAATGTCTCCCCACAAATTACTTATTAATTATAGAGTGGAAAAAACCTGGTGGGTACCCTCCTTAACCAAGTGATTAAGGCTAACATTAGACAAACTGATATAATGTACCTTTTGATATGATATACTAAGGAGGACCCAATGTCAGCCACATGGTATTCCTGCTAAAAATGCTTAACCTAAATCAATTCTAAGGAAACATCAGACAAACCCAACTGAAAAATATTCTACAAAATAACTGCTCTGGATTCTTCAAAAATGTCAACATCAAGAACGACAAGAAGGGGCCAGTCCCATGGCTGAGTGGTTAAAGTTCCACACACTCCACTTCAGCAGCCCAGGTTCACAGGTTCAGATCCCAGGCACAGACCTACTCCACTCATCAGCCACACTGTGGAGGCATCCCACATACAAAAAAAAATAGAGGAAGATTGGCACAGATGTTAGCTCAGGGCACATCTGTTTCATGGAAAAAAAAAAAAAAAGAAAGACAAGAAAAGACTGAGGAACTACTCCAGACTAAAGGAGACTAAACAAACATGACATTGAAATGCAATGCATGATCATAAACGGAGTCTTGAGTCAGGGATGCAGATTGGGGGTGACAGTGGATCTTTGAAAGGACATTACTAAGGCATTATTGGGTATTGTCGCTATCTGAATAGGAACTGTATATTAAAATTAAAACAGCGGTTCTCAGTGCAGTCGAGGATTTCCAAGACATTTCAGGGAGTCCATAAAGTCAAAGTTATTTTCATAATATTACCTAAGATAAAAATTTGTCTTTTCACTTATTCTAAGCATACATCGAATTTTCCAGAGGCCACCCGACTTTTGATATAGCAACAGAATGAAGGCAGAAGCAGACATGAGACCAGCTGCCTTCTATCACACCAAACATTAGCTTTAGAAAGCTATAAAACAATGCTACTTGATGTATGATGGCTATCTCGAGGAAAAGTACCTATTTAATTGTTTGAGTTGCAAGCTGGCCTCACTGCTTTTTCCATGGAACACTACATTACTTGAAAGAAAACTAACAATCCAAGTATAGTATGGTTATTCAGACATTACGGTTATGGCACACATTTTCTGAAAAATGAATGAAGTAAGGATGTCATTTTGAAGGAAAATAACTGACAAAATTTGTTGCCAATGATAAAATTCACATTTTTAAGCAATAATTAGAATTTTAGAAAACTTCTGCCTGCCACTGTGATCTTGACACCTTTCCAATACTTAAAAGACTTTTCCAATGAAATTGACAGTGATATTAACAAATGTGAAGTTTTTTGGATATTGAATAATAAAACATGTCAACATTTGGAAAATGTGTATAACTCAGGGAACCAACATTTTTCAAGTGACCAACACATGGATAAAAAAACCATGCATAGGTAAAAGAATCTGTTCAAAGAGCAAGATAAACCAATGGCTTTTTTTTTAAATATGCTTTTTTTTGAAGAAGATGGGGCCTGAGCAAGCATCTGTTGCCAATCTTCCTTTTTTTTCCTCCCTAAAGCTCCAGCACATGGCTGTATATCCTACTTGTAGGTCCTTCTAGTTCCTCTATGTGGGATGTTGCCACAGCATGGCTTGACGAGCGGTGCTAGGTCCGTGTCCAGGATCCACACCAGTGAAGCCCAGGCTGCCGAAGCGGAGCACACGAACTCAACCACTCGGCCACAGGGCTGGCCCCACAATGGATTTTAACGTAACAGAATACAAAATATTAGATGATATGGTTTCAGAGTCTATAATGCAATTACTTTTAAGAAACAACCACTTGTCAATTTGGAATATGAGATCGAAAAAGAACGTGCAATTATCTGAAAAGACTATTAAAATACTACTCTCCCTTCCAAAAACATATCTATGTGAGGTCCAATTTTGTTCATATATTTCACATAAAACAACATGTCACAAGAGATTAAATGCTGAAGCAGATATGAGAATCTAGCTGTCTTCCACTAAGCTACACACTAAAGAGATTTATAAAAATGCAAAACTAAAGAAAAATACATTTGTTCTGAACCTAAAAAAACTCGCATATCTAAATAATTATTCTCTTTAAGAGCTGAGCTATTCTATTATCTTTCAATCTCCTAAATGTGTTATTAGACACATATTTAAGTGAATTAAAGCGAATTAAATTAAATTTGCTTTTTTAATTGAATATCATACTTTTAAAACACATGCCCTGGGGTATCATCAAACAGTAATTCGTACTCACTGGTATAGAAAATAAAATTAGATATATGAAATCCTAACTGTTCAATTTTGGAAGGAATGAGCATTTATGCTAGAGCTATATATACATTACCATTATATATACTAGCCAATATATATTACCATTCAATTCATAGATAGACCAACAAAAGGTTTTTAGGTAGCTATATGAAGAAAGTATTAATAAACTACAATAAATCTGAACTCCAGTATTCAGGCACCACTTTACTTATCTCTATTGACTTCAAAATAACAGAAACAAAGTGCTCTCATCAAAATAATCTCTATATTTTTCCAGCATTAGTTTTAAGTAATAACTAACTGCATTCAAAATATTACTTATAACTCTATGTAAATGACATAAAAAATAATACCCATACTCAGCTTCAAAAGTAGAACATTAATATTATCTTTGAGGCCCCCTGTAAACCACCACCCCCTGCCCCTGCTCCCTTGAAAGCAGTCACTCTCTTGAATTTGGTATTTATCATTCCCTTGCTTTTTCCAGTACCCTTAACCTATCTCATCTATTTACTCACTGAAGAGTAAGCATGTGATTCATACCTTAAGGAATTCAGAGTCTAGGTAGGGAAATAGGAATGTAAATCATTCATTACAGTAACCAATTCAGGGAATATAAGGGGTTAAATGAGTACACCAAAGGAAGCTTCTAATTCTGTGTGGGGAAGTCAAAAAAGGCTTCACAGAGGAAGTGAAGTTTGAACTGAGTTTTAAAGAATAAGTAGGTGTTTACTAGGTAAAAGCTGGGTGCATAGGAGGAAGACCCTCTTTTAATTCCAAACGGGGAAAACACTATTGCCAAAGGATGTAGTGAGAAAGTTGAATAATCCCAGCAACTACGGGTATGGCTGGCATACAAAGTTGGGAAATGGCTAGAAAGGTAAATAGGGACCAAATCATCACGAGAAATTTAAAGTTTTTACTCTAAGCAAAAGGAACTAAGGCAGATAAACTGCTTTATCATTATGATTATTGTTGTTACTGTTATTCACACTTCCCTGTATCTATGCCCTTTGACAGTGCCCCTCACCATACAGTGACTTCAGACTTGGTCACATGACTTCCTTTGGCCAATAGGATAGTAACAAACTTGGTGGAGTGCTCATATCCACTTTATCCCCCTTGCAACCCTGCCTCTGACATGAGAACCAGACCCAGATAGCCATGAGGAAGTTGAGCAACTACAAAGAACAGAGCCAAGTAGTCTCAGCTGAAGCTACCCTAGACTAGCTGACAGCCAGCTGACTTGCGACACAAGTGAGCCCAGCCAAAACCAAAAGAATGACCCAGCCAATCTGTAGACTTGTAAGCAAAATAAATGCTTACTAGTATATGCCACTGAAGTTTTGTGGGTGCTTGTAATGTAACAGATAGAGTATAATAAATAACTGAAAAGGGACTGAAGCTAAGCATAGGGTTTAAGCAGGTATCACACGGCCAAACAGGCTTTTTAAAGACTGTGCTAATGAATGGAAAATAGATCTGGGGATCAACAATGGAGGCAAAAAAGTTTATGAAAGCCATAAAGGTGGAAGCAGTGCCAAAAGGAACAGATAGGACAAGACATGTGAAATAACATTGGGTGCTAGAATTGTTGAAACTTAGGCACTAATTAGACACACTGTATAAAGAAGAGGGAGAATTTCAGGATGAATCCTAAACTTACTGCAAGAATAATCACAGATGCAATCAACCTAGATTTAAAATAGTTGAAGAGAAATAAGTTAGGGGTTTTTTTTAGATCTGTCTTTATTTTTGTTGAGGACAGAAATAATCATTTCAGGAAATGGGACTTTAATACTGAAAGGCAAAGGCCATTTTTACATACTTTTACATGGCTAATAAATAGAAATTAGAACTTTAAGATATCTTTGAAAAGATAAAAACTACCCAAATGATTAATCACTAGAAGACACTGAGTAATCAAGAATCTAGTTTCCTAGGATTAAAGATATAGGACCAGATCTTTTTGAAATGGCATGCCCAGATTAAAATCAGTGGGGGTTGGGGGGGCGACCCAGTGGCATAGTGGTTAAATTTACACATGCCGCTTTGGTGGGCCGGGGTTCACGGGTTTGGATCCTCACTGTGGACCTACACATCATTCATCAAGCCATGCTGAGGCAGCGTCCCACATACAAAACAGAGCACAGATGTTAGCTCAGCAACCATCTTCATCAAGTAAAAAGGGGAGCACTGGCAACAGATGTTAGCTCAGGTACAATCTTCCTCACCAAAAAAAGAAAAATCAGTGAGGTTTAGAATTAGATCTTTTTCTCCCACTTTTCATTTGCAGCTCCTACTGTTTTGTTATAGTTTATTTTTCACCTACTAATCTGAAACAGCTTAGATGAAAGGTATGATAAAAAATTCTATAAAGATTTTGGGGAAAAAATTAATGAACTAATATTTGCTTTATACCAGTATATAATTATGCACTTATTTAATTGAAAGCCAAAAATGCAAGCTGTCTTACTCACTATGGAAATGCTTTATATATACATGTATCAACAGACAGGCACACATATGATTACATACATACAATTTTAGTTAAAAACAATATGTGTATTACTTGTGAAAACTGATATATAGTCAAACAGTAAGGGATCAAAATAGTGAGATAGTGAGGACATCAAAAGCACATTGTTCCAGAGGAAATCAAAATAAGATGAATGGTCAAAATAAGAGTAGAGGTGACAGGGACATGAGAACAAAGAGAGTCACACAGTTACTTATCCAGGCTAAAGCAGTTAAAAACTAAGTATTTAAAATAGATTTGTTCATGTACCAGTAGTTGAAGAACCAGGTACAGAAGCTGGAATGCAAGAGTACTTAAACCAAATTTGTTCACTACAAATTCTTCTGCTACCACTGCTGACAGACATTAGAAAAGAATATAAATCATCCAGCAAAAAAAGTGCACACCCATAGCCTCATCAAAATACAGATGGATGAAAAGTCTGAGAACTTGCCTCTTTCTCAGTGTCTCTAGAGATACACGTCCACTGGTTCTCCTTCACGCTGTATGCCCAGAAGTCAGCCAGATCTTGTGTTCCATCCCAGCCACCAAACAAATAAACAGTCTCTAGGAAAATCAGAAAAAATAGGTGTAAAACAATAAACTTAAGGACAAAATGTAAGTATAGGCATCCATACACAGCCAGTTGTTTCTAAGATCATTTAAGAAGGTACATCCAAAATAAACTTAAAAATGAAATTTTTAAACTGCTAACATCCCAAAATATATACTAGACTAGTATTTCCTAAACATTAGTATACGGAAAGGCTGCTGCAGAACCACTGTTTTGAGAGATTTATAAAAATACAGAAAACTAGGAGGCATTCCCTAAGATTCCTAATTCCATAGGTCTTCAGTGGGTAAAAAGAGTTTGTATTTTTAAAGTATCCAAGGTGAATCTGATGTGCAGCCAGTTCAGGAGTTCCTGTGTTAGGCTACGAAAAGTTTATATTTACCACCTTCTTAACAATGCAGCTTGAGATTGTAAAAAACAGAAATCCCAGAGAAAGACACAGTGCAAATATAACATAAAGACATCTAGCTATTTCTGAAAAAACTTCACATTAAAATTGTTTTCTCTCTATTGCAATACCAAAAACAATGGTTAAAACTAACCGTGAGTTCAAAGTAGACAGCTTAAGAATAAAGTGACAGATAGCCTTGGTATTCCTATGGAAACCAGGGGAAATTCTTCAAAATATACTATCGTGTGTTTAACTCCTCTGAAATCAACCTTTAAGCCATTCTAGGCATCTTGAGGATTTGATTTCTGCTAACTGTGAAATGTCTATTGTATCTATGGACTTTATCACTGTGACAAAACTGACCTGTTGCTCAGTGAATAGTGAAAATCTTTATACATAACACCGTGTACCATCCATCCTTCTTTATACTATAATAATAATGCCTTTCCTTTCCTCAAACATTTTCCCCCTTTGTAAATGTCTTATGTCAACCGGGTTAAACAAAACCACCAACTATTTTTTTAAAAGTGAAATAAGACATTACAGGAAAACTGTAAAGCCTTCTACCCTCTAACTGACACGCCTTAGTCTTATATATGTGGAGACTGTCATCTAAGTTGTATTCCACCACGAAGGGTTACAATTCAAACTGCACATGGAAATACAGTAACACTATTTAACAAAATCGATGCCATTCACAGAGTTGGGCTGTCTTCTAAGAGATTTTTGTCATATTTTCATATACTTCAAACTCTAAGTGAAATGTCCCATTCTATGCCCCAAGAACCTAGGGAACTCAAAACAATGCTTCTGGATAAGAACTAAGTTCTAGTGTTAAGTGGGTAAGCAAGTACAGGTCACAACCTCCCTGGGTCTTAGTTTTTTCATTTACAAAATTCTCAGTGTTGTGATGAAGTTCTTCAGATATAAGTTAGATGAAAACATTCTGGGGGCTGGCCCCATGGCCCAGTGGTCAAGTTCAGTACGCTCCACTTCAGCGGCCCGGGTTCGCAGGTTCGGATCCCAGGCACAGACCCAAACCATTTGTCAGCCATACTGCAGCAGTGACCCAAATATAAAGTAGAGGAAGATCAGCACAGATGTTAGCTCAGGGCTGATCTTCTTCAAGCAAAAAATGAGGAAAACTGGCAATAGATGTTGGCTCAGGGCCAATCTTCCTCAGGAAAAAAGAAAATTCTGAAGGCTGTCAAGCATGAACAGCATTTCTACCTTTCAAACATCCATAAAATAAAAAATTCTTTGTAGTTACTAAGTACCACAGATGCAATAAAAACAATATTACTGTATATGATTCCATGTCTAACACCATACCTAAAAAACGTTTTGCTCTGTACAAATGTGAAATAATGGTAATTATTTTAAACCATTAAAAAACTGTCATATCTCAGAACTATCAAACAATCCATTATCATTAGTTAAGTAACATTTTGTTTCCCAAATGGCACACAGTAATGCCCAGATACTTAGAATTTTACAGGAACAAAACAAATTAAAGAATTTTCATCTGGCTTGAAAATTACTTGCCAAGGCTTCACTGTAAAGGCAATTAAACCTATTAAATTCTGAAGCCTGGAGAGGGAGGAGGTATATAACTAAAATAGCAATAGCGATTGACCTTTTGTTTTATGGTGTTTCTGGGTACCCTCTGGATAAGGTTACCCTAGTTCATTAACTTTAATAACCCTTCCTCTTGGGCTCTGGGTTCTCAATGTTCTTTCTGAAAAGCAGGTCTCTTTGTACGCATAAATTCTCACAGCAAAGAAAACCCACATTTCCACAACAGCCTCATTGATAGCTGAGCAAAATAAAATCTGGCAAAGAGCAAGCATCCCAGTGGAATTAACCCAAGATGTCATTCTTGTTTGTGAATGCTTTGTGGTCCTAGTTGAAGTTTAATAGTAAAAGTGAATGAATTGGATAGAAACAGGACCTTTTGACACACCTGAATGAAATGCATAACAAAATTTTGATTAAATCATATAATCATTTAAGTTAAATCTTTCAGAGATGAAATATTATCTAGAAACAAACACCAGCAAAAGTATTATTTAATGCCTAATGTATATAAAAAACCTTTAAAGATTATAAAAATAATTGGAGAGAACTGTAGTGAGAAGTAAGAAAGTAGAAAAAAGAAAACATTATTTGCAACAGGGTGGTGGCTTGGTTTACTCAATGTCCATTCTCATGCTTATAGGTTATATAACTATTCCTGTACATCCGTGGGGCAGTACAATCCTCCCTAAGCAGCAGCCCTTTCTCTACATTTTTCTTCTTAAAGGAGCATAGGCTAGAGAGGCTATCCATTTCTCCTAGCACTCAGAAGAATGTTCAGTCAATATTTTTTGAGTACTAATCGTGATTGGCAAGGCACTTTAAAGAATAAAAAGACATAATCCCTATCCTCAAGCAGCTTACAATCTAGTCAAGAATATAAAACAAGTACATAAATCACCATGATGCAGGATAGACTAAGTGCCATAAGAAGGATTAAAAAGCACCATGAGAATTCAAAAGAGGGCAGAGGGTATATTTGGTTGAGGGGACTCAGGAAAGGTTTCACTGTGACAGTGATATCAGAAGGGTGGCTTTGTTGGCAGAATGGGGGACAAAGAGGACATTTCAAGCAGAGTAAAAACTATAACAAACGTATAGGGACAGAAAAACACAACAAAAGTGTTTTAAAAGGCATGGCCTGTAAAGTCAGGCGGATCTTGGATACAATTTCTGCTCTGCTACCACGGCTGTGTGACCACCCCACAACCAAGTTCCTTAACCATTGCTTTCCTCATGTCTACAATGGCACACAGTACTTATCAGACAAAGCTACTGTGAGAAATAATGCATGCAAAGTGGTGCAAACTGTATGATGAATAAATGCACTGTTCAATTTAAAAGAACACAAAAGGCAGTAGGTAAAGGTGAGGTTAAAAAGACAAATAGCGGCCAGAACATGGAAGGGGTTAAATGACAATATAAAGGTTTTGAACTCAACTGCACAGACAGTGGAGTAGCTACAGAAATCTTAAGCAGAAACGTGACATGGTCAGATCTGAACTCGGCAGCATATAGGACCGACTGAAAAGGAGGAGCCAGGGAAAGAGAGGGAATGGAAGTAAAGTGACCAATAACAGCCTATGTTCAAAATGTCAAACCAATTTCATTCCATGAGACTAAATGAATCAATAATCAACTAATCAATCAGTCATTATTCAGGCCACAAAAACTAAAACTCAACCATATTCTTTGGTACAGGTCTTTTTAGTATCAGTATTAAATAAACCCTACAGCTACTTACTACCAGTAGTACTAATCAACACATCTCATATATGCTAAAAATAAGGTAGAAATTTTAACACATCAGTGTCTTCATACCATTTTGCACAAAGAAGCAGGCTTTTTATTTTATAAGCCCAACTGCAATATCTATCCTTCTACTCAGATTCTTACGGGTAAATCACACTGTGCTTATTGCATAATCTTCCACAAGATGGCACACTATTTTCATAATTAAATCCATTTTTCCACTTTGAAACAGTATAGAACGCATATAATATACACTGACAGCATGGGCCCAATCTTAGGTAAAATTCTTGTGTCAAAAGGAAGAGGTAAGAGAAGGGTTAACAGGCTAGGGAAAGAAGTTAATTATTACACCACCAAGAGAAAAACAAATGAAATGGAAAAAAAAGTTTGAAGAAACACAAATTTATACTCAAAATAAAAACAAAACTCTGTCAAGACACTTAGTTTAAGAGTTTAATCCTTCTGAAAGTGCAGCTAGTAAGATCTTAAATTGACATGAGAATTTTTGAAGAGAGGAACAAATTAGAAGGGGAAAGATATTTTATATGTTCTTTAGCCTTACCTTCTTTAGCCACTTCCTTGAATTTTCATGACCCAGCAGATTATCAATTGGACTCATGTGCCTCCCTTTTTAAATAGAGCTATATTCTTACATAAAGCTACGATTACAAAACTATCTAGAGACTGATCTTTTGGGTGAATTCAATATATAGATACTTTCCCTGATAAAAGGTTGTACTTTCTGCCTATGACAATATGCTTTGTATTCTTAATTAGGGCTGTATTTCAGAATTCCTTTCTGGATAACTGTACGAAAGAAAAAGATCTATGTCATATACAGCTACAGAAATATAGCCATATGAATACATTCATGTGTAAAAAAGAAAGAGTATTTTCATCTAATTGGTATGGAATAGTCAAAGGTTCATACTTCCATAGAAGGGCTCTTCCAAGTGACAAGCAACACCCCCTCAATTTCTTTTGTAGATAACAAATACTGGGGTTTTGCCTGAGTCTTACTACCTATTTTGATTGAGAGAGGGGGAAAAGTCTGGTACTGTAGGTTCTCAAAATTCAACAAAGAGTTACACAGAAAAAACTGCCTGGTACAGTGGATATGTAAATTTTCATCTGAATAGACTTCCACATCAAAACAAAACAGACATGCATTTTCTTTCTATTTGCCTTATTTTACCCAGAGATGAAACCTAATTCAGAGTTGAAGAATCCACGTGAAGAGGCACCAGGTACAGGAATTATAATCAATAAAACTGA